AAGGTGGAACGTAGAGCTTTTCGTCTGATCCTAGGTCATGAAGTTGATTATAAATCTAGACTAGAAAAACTTCATCTTCTACCTTTGTATATGCGTAGAGAAATCACAGATCTTGTTTTTCTCTTTAAAATTATACATGAGTTAGTTGATATACCAGGAGGTTTCCTTTCTTGGAAAAATACGTGTCGCTCTTTGCGCAACAGTGACGACATGACACTTACAGTGCCTTTTGCACGCACAGATGTTTTTAAGCTCTCATATTTCGTTCGTGTTACACGCTTATGGAACTTACTTCCTTACACATTGCGTTCTATTCAGCATCTGTCGTACTTTAAGAAACAACTTACTCTATATTATTTTAAACTTTTCCCTTCTGCTTTCAATCCTTAATCAGATATTCAGAAAATTAGAAAATTTATAAAAAAAATAAATATATAATTCAGACTTTTAATTTAGAAATTGTAAAATTATATAATTTAGGAATTATTTGTATTATGTGTCCTGTGATGTTAGTTTAATGTTCTGTTTGTAATTGGGAAACCATTCTTGAGGGAATCTTGAATTCTGTTTATGGTATGCCCTAATACATCTAATTTGATATTTGTAAATATATGGAATTATATGTATTGAATTTTAATAAATACAAAAAAAATACAAAAAATGCTTCACTAAGGCCTAAAAAATACCTGTATAAAATATTCCCCAAAAAAATATTTCCGACCTACCTACCCTAATTTTTTCACGATATGAGACCGGAACTGCAGATTTTTTTTAGGCCTAATGTATTATTAGAAATCAACCAAATTATATCTCAAAGCCAGATCGACACTTGAAGTGTAAAAATGGATCTATTTAACCGACCAGCATTCTCGGCATGTACAAGGTGGATGAACCAGCCACCTTGGAAACCAAAACTTAATTTGATAAACAGAACGTAGATTCTCGTACCTTAGCACTGATTGTCTTGTTGTTTGTCCGTGTCTTCTTGAGGAATTTTTTCAACGATCCAGAGGTCATATATTCCGAAATGAAGACAAGTCGTGCCTTGTCACCTTGCATGTCATTCCAAAACCTGTGAAATTTTACGATGTTTGGATGCTGTGAAAAACAAACAAAGATGTTTCTCAGGACGTCTTTATGATTTTGTATAAAAAAACAATGTAGCCTCTCAAGGCATTTCTTAAGAATAATGCATTACCCACCTTAAGTTTGGTTAAATTTTGAAATATTGTTTTTATAGTAGCCTAAAATTCAAATAAACTAGCAGTTAGTATAAAGTATAATAATTTTAGGGTGCAACTTGGAAAAAAAATGTACCAGTATATACCGTAAACCTCCGACTATAAGCCCTGGGCTTATATACTTTTGTAAGCAGGGTCTTAGCTAGAGGGCCGTGTTGGCCGTGTTATCGCGGCCAGAAATGGAAAAACACGGCTAGATAAAATGAACGCGGCTTCATTATTTATATAAGGCCGTGTAGGTTCATAAAATAAGATGGTGCTACTTACAACAGACAGAATTTCTTTCTATTTACGTCATAAGAAAGTTTGTAAAATCTATTGTTGTTGTTGAAATTGGCAAAAGTGATCCGTGATGTTTTAATGTTTTGATGGATAATGGAAACTGTATGGTGTTAAAATGGTTTAAATACCCCAAGAGTTGCTGAAATAACTTAATATTTTAATGTCAGTGAGCAAAATGAGTATATGCTTGCCTTGTATTTGGTTGCAAAGCATAGAACAACCATAGGCATTGTCCGTTGTTGTAGAACCGTGAATTTGGCTATGCAAGGTAATTGACATGTGCACACCCTGGTAATTTAGAAACACGCCCAAGATCTAAAATCCTAGCTAAGACCCTGCAAGTGATTTTTGATGGGCTTATACAAGGGGGGGGGCTTATATACGGGTGGGCTTATACATGGACAATCTTTCGTGTTAGTAATAAACAAGTCAGACATAAACAAGTCAGTCATAAACAGGGAAATAAACGTTTATTAAGCAGCAATTACCGGGTTTATATTAATTGGGGGACTTATATTCGAATTGGGGGACTTATATTCGGGGGGCTTATATTCGGGTGGGCTTATATTCGGGGGCTTATATTCGGCTATATATTGGAATGATGTGAGCGTTTATAGTACATGTGGTGGGCTTATACACGGGGGGCTTATATTC